CCGCCTCCAATAAAGCCTCTTGCTTTTTGCATCCAAAGTTCGTGGTTTTGCTGATTCCTGGGTGCGGGTCTCCTTCTACGAAAGTACCTCTTCTGAGGTCTTTCAGTCTGGGCCCTCCCCAATCAATAACTAATTAAGAATATTGAGATGGGTCTGTACATGAGCTCTGCCTCAAGGTTGCATCTCTCTCTCTCTCTCTCTCTCTTCTTCTTCTTCTCTTCTGTCTCTTCTCTTATGCTCTCTCTGCCTCTCTATGGAGACCAGCCATGGCGGTCAGCCATTAACCCTGTTCCTCTTCTCTCCTAGTCTCTTTACTCTGCCAGGCCTATAATAAGCTGGTTAATATGTCTAAGAAAGAAAGAAAGAAAGAAAGAAAGAAAGAAAGAAAGAAAGAAAGAAAGAAAGAAAGTGCCTTACAGCCAAATATTATGAAGGCATTTTCTTAATTAATGTTCCCTTCTCTCAGATATCTCTAGTTTGCATGTCAAGTTGACATTAAGACCAGTTAGCACAGTTGCTATTAGTTTTGAATTAGGCCCAGCGAAAAATACAGCATTGGGTAGGTTCCAGCTTCAGAACCAGGGGTCCAGAAAATGTGGGCTCTATATATAACTTGGCAGGTCTCCTGCCATAAAGATGTTTGAAGTGGTAAACAGCACTGTGCAATCTTTGGGAAGCCCCAGAAGTTTGAGTTACAGATATACCAAGACTTCTAGGCAGTACTCGGCTTCCGTGGTTGATCAAGACCAGGAAGGAACAAAAGTGGAGCATCAGAGATGTTGATGGACAGATTTGCAGGAAAAGCATCATGTGCTTCTTCGTGCCTCGCATAAACGCCACACACACAAAGACGGAGGTCAGCAGCTGTGAACTCAGCTGTCACTGTGCTGAAACAGCTGGTCTTTAAAGATACTAATTGGTAGCAGAAACAGACTTAGTAAGGGCCTAACAACCCTGCCAAGACTGGCGTAGCTACTGCCGTTGCTGAGCCTTTAGTGTACTGTATCGTATACTAACACTGAATCCTTAACATATGACGTCCTGAAGGTACACAAATGTGGTGCAGTGTGATTGCATTGAGCCATGTGTGCCCTGTAGGAGGCTTCTTACTGAAAATGATTCTCCCCTACTGAGAATCACAAAAATCTAAGTGAGTTTGTTTCCCTCTTCTGTCTCTACTATAGCACTACTCTCTGAAGACTTATGGGATTCTTGGTACCTGTTTGTGGTAGTTTAAGTAGAAATGGCCCCCACTAGCTCATATATTTGAATACTTGGTCATTAGGGAGTGAGAGAAGAGATGTGATCTTGTTGGAGTAGGTGTGGCCATATTGGAGGAAGTGTGTCACTGGGTGTGGGAGTTTGAATGTAATTGGCCCCCATAATCTCATAGGGAGTGGCACTGTTAGGAGGTGTGGCTTTGTTGGAGTGGATATGGCTTTGTTGGAGGAAGTGTGTCACTGTGGGGGTGGGCTTTAAGGTTTCCTATGCTTAGGATGCTGCCCAGTGTTTCAATGGACTTCCTGTTGCCTACTGACCAACATGGAGGACTTTCAGCTACTTTAGCACTATGTCTGCCTCCAGGAGACCACGGTCCACATCATGATGGTAATGGCCTGAACCTCTGAAACTGTTGCCATGGTCATGGTGTCTCTTCACAGCAATAAAAAACCCTCAGACGATGAGTGCAGCGGCAGTCTCACAGAGTACTGCATCTGGCCTGAACTCCGAGTGTTAGCACCTAGACTTTGAACTGCCTTATATGATACTACCTTTTGTGACTGTTGCCTTTTGTTTGAAGTGTTTGCTTCTTATCTGAGTTCTTCCTGAAGGATTCAGAGCCTTTGCAAAACTTAGTTGTGAGGACTTAGAAAACTAAGAGGTCTCATGGCTGGGAATTGCTTAGGTAAATGTTTCCTTCAGCCAACTCCAGATAACAGATTTTGGTATGTGGAAATTGACTTGCTAAGAGGTGTAAGTTTTGTAACAATAAAAAGTGTGTGGGGGGGGTTGTTTTGTTTTCAAGAAGCAACAGTCAATTCACCAGAAGCTGATTCACCCTTCTACTGCTAGCCTGAAGTTCATATTGGACGGACACTAATTTTTCCACAGATCCACGCAAAAGAGAACACCAAGAACTTTGAGGTGCCAGAAGCTCAGAGCAGGACCAGTGTCTCTCTCTTCCTGATGCTGTGGGTCTGGTTGTAGAAGTCTCAACTACCTCTTCAGAACTATGCCTGTCTGCATTCCTCCATGCTTCCCACCATACTGGTAATGGACTAAACCTCTGAAACTGTAAGAAAGCCCCAATTAAATGCTTTATTTATAAGAATTGTCATAATTATGGTATCTCTTCACAGCAATCGAACATTATTTACGATGCTGTTGTTTTGGTGGGGGGGTTGCTTGTTTGTTTATGTGTTTGTTTTGAGACAGGATGTGACTCTGTGTCCCTGGCTGTGTGGCACTAGAAACTGCTTGATAGACCAGGCTGGCTTTGAACTCACAGGGCTCCACTTGCCTTTATCTCTACCTCTACAATGCTGTGATTAAAGGCATGTACCACTACTCCTGGCCTCTGACTTTTTTTTTCTTATCCTAAAGAAAGAAATGACTGTGAATATGACACTCATGTCACACAAGAAGATGCCTCATCACTGACAAAATGCCTGACAGAATCAACATAAAGGAGGAAGGGTTGATTTGGGGTCTTTGTCTTAGAAATTTTGGTCTAAGGTCCTTGATGCCATTGATTCTGGTTCCCTGGTAAGGCAGAACATCACAGCAATGGAAGCACATGGCAGAAGTGACTCACCTCATTACAGATGGGAAACAGAGAGGATGACAGACAGACACAAAGGGACATGGGACCAGATACATCTTTCCAAGGATGCCTTCTATGACCTCCTATCTCTCACCACTTCCCTGTAATGCCACCACGATACACATTCATCAAGGGACTAACGTTAACTAATTCAGGACCTTAAGATTCACTCACTTCCCAAAGCCCATTCGCTGGTAGCCAAGTCTCCAGTACGTAAGCTTTTGAAGAGCTGCTTCATATTCACACTGTAACAATACCTATGCAATATGTAATAGGAAATGAAAATGGTCCATTCAAGATGCTACCAAGACTCCAGTCTAGGAATGATGCCTTGCAAATTAAAGTGCTGTCCATTAAGATGTGATATACACTCTGAGCCAACAGCCTGAACGTGGTTCTGTATCCCTAATAAAACACAAGGATCTAAGCTCCAACAGTTAGCAATGGTGCCTCCACCACCACTCCCAACAACACACTTAGGGAATCTATATCACCTCTCCCTGGAACCTTAAATCCTGCTGATTCCCTTGGGAGAGATGCTTGCTTCTACTAGGTGACACTAAGCTGAAGCCTGGCCATCCGAAGCTCTGTGTGTCAGTAGCCTAGCAACAAAAGGTGGTGCTACTATCCTAGTAGAACTAATTGGTTGTCATTATCAAAAAGACCCAGAATTTCTGCTACATAATGAAGACAGAGTGGAGGGTGTCTCTAACACAGAGGATATACAAGGAAACTCAGTGTGCTGGGTTAGTTTCACCCATGAATAGGCAGCCACAACAACCCAGCCTGCTTCAAGCATCACACAGAAGCTCAGATTCCTCGGGCATGAAATCTGGGTTAAAGCACCACGCAAGCAAAAATGAGCAAGCAAGCACAGGAAGAGATGCTCATCATTGCCAGTCATTAGGGACATGCTAATCAAAGCCACAATGACTTACCACTTCATTCCCAGCAGGAGGGCATGATCAGAAAGAAGGACAAGTGTTGGTGAGCATGTGGAGAAACTGGACCAGAACCTTCCTGTGTTACTGGAGGGGTGTGGACTGGAGCAGCCTCTTTGTGGAAAAGTTTGACAGCTTCTTAAAATATCAAACATGGAGTTACCATAGAAACCAGAACCTCTTCATTTAAACTACACACACACACACACACACACACACACACACACACACACACACACACACACCGCACCTAAATGCTCACAGCAACCAAATGTCTGTTGTTCATGATAACAAAAAAAAGTAAAGCAACCCCAATATCCATCTTTAAGGGTTAATAAAATGGTATTGTGATTCTATAGGATAATTCTACTATAAAACAGAATGGAGTAGCAGTATATGCCATGACACAGACGAGTCAAGGAAACCCTCAGCTGGATGTAAGGCATCAGATGGGAAAGGCCATACGTCCTATGATTCTGGGTATATGAACTGTCAAAATAGAAAAATCCACAAAGAATAACTACCACTCAGTGGTACAGTATTCATGTAACATGTGAAACGCCCTGGGTTCAATCCTCAACACTAAGAGGATAGACAGAGAGAGTAAATTGGTGGTTGCAGGAGTGGGTAGTAGGGTAGGAACTCTGCATACACTTTCAATAAGTGAAAGAGGTTCAGTGGCACATGTGAGGCCCAGGACCAACCCCGAGTACTGCAAAAAGGAAAGGTAGGGAGGCACCCTAAGGTGTATAGAATGTATCTCAGCAAAAAAAGAATTGTATGAGAAAAACAATTTCTGGTCAAAGCTGAAGAGAGTTGAATAGTGAAGATAAAGCTTTGACCTGAAGCAGTGGAGATGTGCCTTATCCCATTAACCTTCTTTTGGAAAGTTGGGAGGGGTTTTGTTTTGTTTTTTCTAAAAAAGAAATTGAAACAATGGGTCACCGTCTGGAAGCACCAGTGAAAAGACACCTTGAAAGGCTCACATGAAGCTCAAAAGCACACTCTCTCACAGTGGCTTTCATCTGCAAGCAGTGTGCCTCCTTCCCGAGGTCTGTCTCTGACCACTGGAGCCTATCCAGTACACCTGCAAAGGAGGCCGGGAGTGCCTTTAGCAAGGGCTGATGGGAGTCACAGGGTCAAGTACACAGTAGCACAGACTTAAGACTCTTCTGTACAGCAAAGATAACAACAATCATCAGCCTAGAAAATGGCCAGGAGGGCATCTCTCTACAGATACCCATCAGATGTGGGGTTGGTACATAAAGCATGTATCTCACTCCCTTCAGAATAGACCGCATTGAGGAAACAGGTGATGGGTATTGTTGCATCCATGCTATGATCACAGGACTTGAAGGGCTGAGGCAAGAAGAATATGAGTTCAAGGTCAGCCGGACCTACATAGTAAATGCCAGTCCATCCCAGGTTATAGATGTCTCAAAACAAACAACAACAAAATAAAAATAAAAAGGACAACAACTACTGGAGAGAATTGGAGGAAAAGAAATGGTTAGACAATGAATGCAAACTTGTGCAGCCACTATGGACATCAGCATGGAAGTTCTTCAAAACTAAATGGAGAGCTTCCACATGACCCAGCCACCGCACTGGTCACTCCAAGTCAAGTGGCACAGAGATGCTTGCACTTCCACGCTTGTTGCTGCACTGTCCAGGTAACCAAGCAGCCCTGGAGACCCAGGTGAACAGAAAAGGAAATATCATGGAACATTCTCTGTGAAGAAAAATGAAATCATGTCATTTTCAGGAAAACACAACTAGAAACCTGTCCCACCCACCCACCCCCCAATTTTTAAAGACAGGATCTCATGTACCCCAAGCCAGCATTGAACTCCCTGTGTAGCTGTGGATGACCTTGACCTCCAGAGTCCTGAGGTTACAGACTGCTGTCACCACTCTTGATGAAAACCATTATGTTAATTGAAATAAACCAAACTCAGAAAGACAAATGCCACATTGTCTCGCATAGGCAGAGCCTAATTTAAGTGTCTAAGTGTGTGTGTGTATGTGTGCACGTGCGATTGTCTCGCATAGGCAGAGCCTAATTTAAGTGTCTAAGTGTGTGTGTGTTTGTGTGCACGCGCGCGCGCGCACGCGCGCGCAGGTGCGCATGCCTGTGTGATAGTAGAGAGGAAGAAGTCCTAAGGGAGGTGGGAAATAGAGAGAAGATGGCAAATAGAGAGTAGAGGCTGTCTAGAGGAAGAAAAGGAACCAGTTATGTAGGATGGGGGCAGAGAGAGACAGTGAAGTACAATGACACATATATATGAAAATGTCTATTGAAACCCTTGGCTTATACTACACTAACTTAAATGATTAATTTTTTAGAAACATTTTTAGTAGAGTGTCTTAGTTTGGGTTTTTATTGCTGTCAGGAGACACCATGGCAACTCTTTTTTTTTTTATCATTTCTCAGGAGATTATGTATCTTCTTTATTGACTCTTTGGGCGTTTCACATCATGTACCCCAATTCTGCTCACCTCCCTGTTCCCCCCATCCTCCCCTCATCCCTGCCTCACCACTCCCCACAAAAGGAAACAAACCAAAACAAGCAAAAATAAAATAAAATAAAATAAAAACAAAAACAAAAACAAAAACCACAACGGAAAAATCTCTTTGCTTCACCTTCTTTCCTGCCTCTCTAACACCTCTTCATTGGTCCTGGTGGCAATGGAGGCTTCAGTGTGCCATATAGCATACCTCTTTGTCCTGTCAATCTTACTGGAAAACTATCTTTGCAATGAGTCACTGGTCTGGTTCAAGGCTTCTTGTTTCTGGTACACCATCTCCACTGGATCCTCACTGGAACTCCTCTGGAATATCCTGTGGCTGCCACGAGTCTTGGAGATCCACAGGCCCAGTCCCTTCACAAGCTCTAGCAGGTCCTAGATGGGGTAGGTGTTAGGGTGGGTCAACCCAAGAACCCCTGCTGTGGGCCTGGGTGGTAGATAACCAAGATGGTCAGTCCAAGCCCCTGGGAACACCCACCTCTGGAGAAGGGGTAGAATCAGCTCCCCTACATGCATGCCCTCAGGGTCGGTTCACCCTGGTCTGTGGTGAGGGATGGGGGCCAGTTCTACATCGTGCAGGGGCCAGCTCTCCTGCTGTAGTGTCCAGCAAGAGACAAGGCCAGCTTTCCCAGAGATTATGGCAACTCTTATAAAGAAAACATTTAATTGTGGTGGTTTACTTACAGTTCAGTAGTCATTATGGGGATCATGGCAGCAGGCAGGAAGGCAGGCAGGCTTGGTGCTGGAGAAATAGCCAAATGTCCTACATCTTGCAGGTAACAGGAAGTCAACTGGCTCGCTGGGGGGTATCCTGAGTATGGGAAACCTCAAAACCGGCACCCATAGTGAGATACTTCCAAAAGAAGGTGTGGCCCAGATTAAAGGTGTTCTTTCCAGCCTCAAGGTCTGGATTAAAAGCCTGTTGTCATCCAGCCTCCTCCAACAAGACCACACTAGCTCCAACGTCACACCTCCTAATAGTGCCACTCCCTATAAGCTTATGGGAGGAGGAGGCAAATACATTCAAACTACCACACAGAGTAGTTAACTGGTGAGATAGTTAAGTAGGTAAAAGTATTTTATAGAACATGCTCACACATGAACCTGAATTCAGTCCCTGGGACTCACAAAAAACTAGATGCAGTGGCTCACATCTGGAATCCCAATACTTCTACAAGAAATTCATTCTCTCTCTCTCTCTCTCTCTCTCTCTCTCTCTCTCTCTCTCTCTCCCTCCCTCCCTCTCTCCCTCTCTCTCTCTCCCTCTCTCTCTCCCCCTCTCTCTCTGTAGTAATAATCAAATAAAATTTAAACCAATCAATCAGTCTATTGATTAAAGTAGCCATTGGGTCAGTACCTCCTTCTAGAGATATAGATGTATATAAGATAACTCTGAGGGGCATATTCTATACTTTTTCCCAAGGTTGTTTTTCTGTGGGGTTTGGAACCCAGTTATGCCAACACTAACCTGCTCTACAAACCTTCAGAATTGGCTTCCTTCCCTTCCTGGTGCATATCTCTAGTTTCCTACTAGTGTTTCTTTGGACCAGTTGCCACATAAACTACTTGTCATTGCATCTCCATTGCAGTGTCTATTTCTAGGGGAACTTCACTAGTAACATCTCCATTCTGGGTAGGATATTGCTGAGGGCCACTGTCTGTTCAAAATTGATCCTTTCAGGGGCTGATGACTCAGTGGGTAAAGGCATTTGCTACAGAAGCCTGGTGACCTATGTTCAATCCCCAGAATCCATGTAATGATGAAAAGAGAGGGCTGACTCCAAAAATCGGTTCTTAGACTTCCTTCTACACATGTGCTATATGTGTGACTCTCTCTCTCTCTCTCTCTCTCTCTCTCTCTCACACACACACACACACACACACACACACACACAAAATGAGGAGGACGCATGTATGCCCCCCCACATACTGATGATGATGATAACAATGAAATTCGTTGAAAAGATACCGGGCGGTGGTGGCGCACCTTTAATCCCAGCACTTGGGAGGCAGAGGCAGGTGGATCTCTGTGAGTTCGAGACCAGCCTGGTCTACAAGAGCTAGTTCCAGGACAGCCTCCAAAGCCACAGGGAAACCCTGTCTCGAAAAAAAAAAAAAATACAAACGAAATTCGTTGAAAAGATATCTTCAAATTTGTTCTATCAGCAGCTAAAACCAAAGATAGAGACATATAGTCTTATCTCGAATTACTTCTCTGCCATGGGAAAGAGGCAGAGTACTGTTGTGTGGGATGTTTCCAGAACCACCGTGGCTCCAGCCCACCGCCAGCAGCTGCCAATGTCCTTACACTACTTTGCCACATAAGAAAGCAACACTGTCTTGCAGGAATCCTGGTGTCCCATTTGATCAGGGCTGTGGAATTTCTAAACTTAACTACAGCGAGCAATTCAGTTCTCAGCAGGGAAATTCCAGTGGAAATGGTGGGTCTGATTTCTGTCCTCCTTAAAATGCAAATACTAAAATCTAATATACCATCACATACACTCCTGATTGGTACAGACAAAGCACTTGGACATGTTAACAGAGGAAAACTCCACACACTCATGCTGATTGATGCAGACAAACCATTTGAGAAGTTTGAACTCCCTCTTACAAACGGCACTCAGGAAACCAAACAAAAGGTAACTTCATAAACCTGACAACCAACCTTCATAAAACCACACCTGGCAGGATGATAGCAGTAAAAGAAATAGGATATGCACTCCAGCATCTGCCATTGCTATTCACCATAGCACCTCAAGTTCTAGCAATATAAGAACTAGAAAGCATCAACACTGAAGGCAAAAGTGTAAAATTATCATTATTTGTAGACATTGTGAACTAGCTCTGGGAAATCCTAAGAATTCCCACACCACAAAAACTATTAGCGCTAATAAATTCAGCGGGATAGCAACATGACACACAGAAACAGTCAGCTGTGTCTCCATGTACTAACAATGGGCAACCTGAAAACTCAATTAAGAAAACAATTCAATTTATAATAGCACCAAATTAAATAAAATGCTTTGGAGCAAATTTAACCCAGGAGGTATAAGAATCAGCCACTAAAAAATATAACATGTTAGTGAAATAAATTAAATAAGGCCGACATTAGTGAAACTAGAAAGTTAAAAGTATTAACATGACAGGGCTACCAAAAGCAACTGACTTGATATACTAGCTGTAAAAATTCCCAGTGTCCAGGCAAAGTCTCTCACTTGTCCCCAGACCTTGATGATACAGTTAGTCTGGCCAGCCAGCTGGCTCTGGAGACTCCCCTGTCTCTGCCTCCCTAGTGCTGGAATTACCAACTGACCATCATACCTGTCCAGTATTGATGTGGCTGCTGGGGATCCCAACTCTGGTCTTCATGCTTGCAAAGCAGCAGTATACCTACTGAACCATCACCCCAACCCTTCAACACCTTTTTTAACAAATGTGGAAAAGTTGATTCTAAAACTCACATGCAATAAGAAGAGCCCCCAGTAACCAAACATTTTAAAAAAAGAAAACCTCAGGGCTGGAAAGATGGCTCAGAGGTTAAGAGCACTGGTTGCCCTTCCAGCAGTCCTGAATTCAAGCACATGGTGGCTCACGACCATCTGTAATGAGATCTGGTGCCCTCTTCTGGCTTGCAAACGTGCATGCAGGCAGAACACTGTATACGTAATAAATAAATAAATGGGAAAAAGAAAAGAAAACCTTCAAAGAGAACATGGTGGCTCAAACCAGTAATCCCAGCACTCAGGAGTTGGAGGTAGAAGGGTCAAAAACTCAAGTGATCTTCATCTACATAGTGAGTATGAGCCAGCCTGCTCTACATGAGACTATGTTAAAAGGAAAAAAAAGGAAGAAAGGAAGAGTTGAGTTTAAGGACTCACAGTTTTTAGTTTTAAATTTTACTCGAGGGGCACTGATATAAAGACAGATAAAACATGGGCCAGAATTCAAAGACTACAAGGCCAGTGGTGGAGCATGCTTTTAATCCCAGCACTGGGAAGGCAAAGACAGGCAAATCTCTGAGTTTGAAGCCAGCCTGGTCTACAGAGTGAGTTCCAGGCCAAAGCTACAGAGAAATCCTGCCTCAAAACCCACAAAAAAAGTAAGTAAGTAAACCAATTTGAAGTCTAGAAATTAACCCAGACATCTTGGTGACATACTTTCTTTTTTTAAATGAAGGGGAAAGGGACAAGATTTCCTAAGCTAATTGGGAGCACTGGGTGGGGGGGGGGGGGGGGTAGAAAAAAAGGGAGGGGGGAGGGGGGGGGGGGGGGGGGGGGTTAGAAGAAAGAGAAGGAGAGAAGAGGAGGGGAGAGGAGGACATGAGGGAGCAGGAAGATTGTGTCAGGGGAAGAATAGAGGAGAGTAAGAAAAGAGATGCCACCATAGAGGGAGCCATTATAGGTTTAAAGAGAATTCTGGCACTAGGGAAAGGTCCAGAGATCCACAAGGATTACTCCAACTAAGAATCTAAGCAATAGTGGAGAGGCTCCCTTAAATGCCCTTCTCAGAAAATGAAATTGATGACTACCTTATACGCCATCCTAGAGCCTTAATCCAGTAGCTGATGGAAGCAGAAGCAGACACCCATGGCTAAACACTGAGCTGAACTCGGGAATCCAGTAGCAGAGAGGGAGGAGTGATGAGCACAGAGGTCAAGACCAGGTTGGAGAAAGCCACAGAAACAGCTGACCTGAACAAGGGGTTTCTCATGGACCCCAAACTGACAACTGGGAAACCAGCATAGAACTGTTCCAGACCCCCTGAAGGAGGAGGTCAGTTTGGAGGTCTGGGAAATATATGGGGCCTCTGGTAGTAGATCCGTATTTATCCCTAGTACACTAATGGACTTTGGGAGCCCACTCTACATAAAGGGATACTCTCTCAGCCTA